TCTATTCTATTCTATTCTATTCTATTCTATTCTATTCTATTCTATTCCGCCTTATGACTGTCATTAAGTGTTGTACGTGATGATTCTGGACTCTTGACGAATGTCTCTTTTATGTACACTGAGAGCATTTGCACCAAGACAAATTCCTTTCCAATCATACTTGGCCAATAAAGAATCCAATTCAACTGAACTGAACTGAACTGAACTCCATTCCACTACACTCCATTCTATTCTCTGGAAAAACGTCCCAAATAATTTTTCCCCAGTGTCATTGCAACTTTGAATGATCATTAAATCATTAAATGAACTGTTGTAAGTCAAGGACTAGCTGTAGTACAAATGGGTGTGGAAACCTCTTGGGGCTGCCAAAAGAACTGTGTTGTAAACAGGAGATAGATAAGAAAGAGGGGTCAATGAGGCCATCTACATTAAGATTCCACTATTTGAGGGGCTGCCCCCAAAGAGGAAGGAGTCAAGATATTCTCCAAAGCACCAGAAGGCAGGACAAGAAACCATGGATGGAAACTGATCAAGGAGAGAAGCAACTTGGAATTAAGGAGAAACTTCCTGACAGTGAGGACAATTAACCAGTGGAACTGCTTGCCACCAGAGATTGTGGGCGCTACATCACGGCAGGTGTTTAAGAGATTGGACGGCTGCAATACTGGAGCTGTCCAATCTTAAGAAGACACTGGACACTGGCTACTTGTCTGGAATGGTCTAGGGCTTCCTGATTGAGCAGGGGGTTGGACTAGAAGACCTCCAAGGTTCCTTCCAGCTCTATTCTGATTGATTGAAGATTGAACATCCCTCTCGCAATGGGGAGGGGTGTGTGGGATACGACACCCCCCTACCTCCTGTTTACCACCCAGTCCTTTCAACAGTTCCAAGAAGGCTCCACACCCATTTGCACTACTCAGGTGACCCTGAGAATACAGATAAACCTCCAAGTGGCCTCAACGGGCTCTCTAGAAAGGATGCAAATGACCAGGATGTCTGCAAGGAGTAGAAATCCTTCTGTCTTCCACCACTCGGTCAGAACTGAAGAAGCTTCTTGGATGAGAAGCAAAATGTCTTCAAGGAACAACCAGTCTCTTGGAAAAAAAGCAACCCTGTGAATACTTTGGGACAACCCTGACCTGGATGATGTCAGGGTTCCGGCAGTTACTCCAATTAAATCATGAGCCTCGAGCCACACTCCCAAAACTAAAAAGGATTTATTAGAAGTTAACATTCTACGTCTGTCACTAACCTGGGCGTAGCCAACTCTGAGATACGTAATTCACTGTCACCCTTGATCCTGCTTTTCCCCTCACCCCTCTGGGTGTATTATCCGATGAAAAACGTCCATAGCCAAGAGTCATCAATCATGCTCTCCAATTAGATTTTTGAGCGGCAGATGATTCAAGTCATCTAATCAGTCTTTGAAGAAAATATGAATGGAATGTACTTTCGATTCCACACTGCCGCCTGCTCTTTGAAACTCCCCCCTCCTCTTTCTGTTGTCAACTATAGAACGTGTATACAAAATGTTTTATGAGTTGACAGATGACTTGGGGATCTCCTTAGACATCTGGATTCAATCCCGTTTCCCTCAAAGGAACACCCTCCATCCCCGGGGGCCAACCTGCAGCCTCCAGATGTGCTCGCTCTCTTTGGAGATGTCCTCCACCGTTTCTCCCATCAAGGCGATCAGCATGTTGAGGAGCAAGACAAAGGTCAGGATGACGAAGGAGATGAGGAGGAGGAGGAACAGGATGGGGTACTTGGCGTTTTTCGGGACGTCCAGCTCGCCGAGGCCCAAGGTCAGCATGAATAAGTCGACCTCGATGCTTCCCAAGACGCTGTACTCATTGCATTTGCTGTCTTCGGGACAAGAGTCCACCAAGGCCGCAAGAGCTGGGCAGAGAACGGGAAGGAGGAGAGGATTAGAGACTTAAAAAACCCAAAACTTTGAGGTTACAACATCTTCCTGAAGATTCAGTGCTCCCCCCAAAGGGGTTATTAGAGTCCGAAATGGGGTGTCCGCAGGAAGGAGTCAAAAACATGAATTGTGCAATTTGGGCAGAGGTGGGATTTTAACCGGTTCGGACCAGTTCGGGCGAACTGGATGTTAAAATTACAGCTGGTGTGTGTTCTGACCCAAACTTTCTTCTAAGGAAACAAACATCAAACGGAGGTAACTTTTAATGATTCTTTACCTAATTCCATTCCTTCCCGGTTAAAAGGCTGTTTCAAACTCATTGTCTCTGATAAGAACGAGCCTTGCTAAGGTTGTGCGAGGCTGCCAAGAACACTAGATAAAGTTGCCAAGAAATATTTCAAACACAAAGAGTCTCCAAACACAAACTAAGATAGTCTGAACGCCCACGGGGCTTGAGTGCAAAAACTTCTTTGCTTCCTGCAAAGGACTGCGGTTTCTCAGCTGGCTTTTATCTCTTAAGGGAGGGGCCATTTCCTTGCAGCCTTACTCCCGAGTCGCCCGTGCTGCTGCAGCTGCTCTTTCCTTTGAGCAGCCCTGCGCGCACACGCCCTGGGCACAGGCTCCTCGGGGGCCTCTTCCTCACTGCTGCCAGCCTCCACAATCTCCGAAGGCAGCACTCCACTCCCTGATGGTCCTGGCCCCATCCCTGCATCACACGCAGGCCCCTCATCCGAGTCCTCGCTCTCTGTCCGCACCTGCTGCCGGTGAACCACAACAGCGTGCCGAACCGGTATTTCAACCGACCGGCTGGCCCCGGCCACCCCTCCCCGCCCCTCCCAGTAGTCCCCACGTGGCCCATTTTTGATGGAGATAGGGGCAGGTTCCCTGCAAAGGCTCTGGGAGGGGGGAAAACGGGCCTGTTTTCGCCCCCCCAGAGGCCCATCGGAAGCCGGAAACAGGAAGTTCCAGTAGGCCATGCTCACCCAGCAACCGGTTCGCTGCCCAGTTGCTGGGATTTTTGAATTCCACCCCTGAATTTTGGGGGTTTGTGTTTTGAATGTTTAGAAGAGAATATTTGTAGCTCAGGGATGGAACTGTGGGGTCTGTGGGGTCTGTGAGCTTGATTGTCTTCCTTGCAGACGTTTCCAGACCCAACTAGGGAACATCATCAGTAGCAGAAGGGAGTGGGGTTTGTGGAAGAGGAACAGCAGGAGGAGGAGGAGGAAGAGGATTGTGGAGTCTTTGATGCTCTCTGAGATTGGTGGTTTTCTTGCAGACGTTTCAAGACCCAACTAGGGAACATCATCAGTAGCAGAAGGGAGTGGGGTTTGCTGTCTGGTTATATGCAAGTGGTTTGCCCTGGGAGTGTCTTGATTGTTCCTCGATTAGGCTGTTATTTTCTGTTAGTTTATTTGTCTAAGACGGTAGTTTTTTGATTGGGGTTTACAATAAGCATCATTATTGTTTACTTAAAACACCAAAACTCTTGGCAGCATTTACCCTCCAGATAAGCAGATAACCTCCTCCTCCTCCTCCTCCTCCTCCTCCTCTAACCCCACTCCCTTCTAGCATTGATGATGCTGCCTTGTTGGGTCATGAAACGTCTGCAAGAAAACAACCAAACTTAGAGAGCACCAAGGAGCCCACAATCTGCCTCCTCCTCCTCCTCCTCCTCCTCCTCCTCCTCCTCCTCTCCTTCTCCTCCTCCACAAATCCTTCTCTCTTCTAGCACTGATGATGTTACCTACTTGGGTCACGAAATGTCTGCAAGAAAACAACAAAACTCAGTGAACACCAAGGACCCCACAATTCTTCTCCTTCTCCTCC